TGTGTGTGTCCATAAGTATTAATAATTATAAAGAAAATTCTGTATAATATATAAGTTGCTATTACAATCAAATGCATTACATTGTTTTAATTGGAATTGTATTAATTTCTTATCTAAAATTTCAGTTGAAAATATTTCATTTATTAGGATAATTAATGTTAATTATAAAAAGTTATATCAAAACTGCACAATAAAACTTTAAAGCGACATAATATTACCTGTCAGCAATTACCTGTCAAAACACCCGTCAGGTATTGGACTTTGAGACCTGATTTTCATTAAATAAGAATCAAATCAAAATCGTTCAGAAAAATAAAAAGTAAAACGTAAATAATAAATTATTTTTTAATAATATCACGAAAGTGTGATATTTGATTGATCTATTAGGGAAATGCAAAAAAAAAGATTGCCAACAGTACACGGTGTTCCCAAGCAGTCTCCTATCTAAGTACTAATCGTGCTCAACGTTGCTTGACTACGGTGATCAGACGAGAACCGGTACTTTACAACGTGATATGACCGTTGACGAATGAACATATTTTCTATTGTATCATAACAAATAAAAATAACGTATCTTTTTAAATTTTTATCAAAGGCACCAATTGTGTGTGTCCATAAGTATTAATAATTATAAAGAAAATTCTGTATAATATATAAGTTGCTATTACAATCAGATGCATTACATTGTTTTAATTGGAATTGTATTAATTTCTTATTTAAAATTTCAGTTGAAAATATTTCATTAATTAGGATAATTAATGTTAATTATAAAAAGCTATATCAAAACTGCACTATAAAACTTTAAAGCGACATAATATCACCTGTCAGCAATTACCTTTCAAAACACCTATCAGATATTGGACTTTGAGACCTGATTTTCATTAAATAAGAATCAAATCAAAATCGTTCAGAAAAATACAGAATAAAATGTAAATAATAAATTATTTTTTAATAATATCACGAAAGTATGATATTTGATTGATCTATTAGGGAAATGCAAAAAAAAAAATTGCCAACAGTACACGGTGTTCCCAAGCAGTCTCCTATCTAAGTACTAATCGTGCTCAACGTTGCTTGACTACGGTGATCAGACGAGAACCGGTACTTTACAACGTGATATGACCGTTGACGAATGAACATATTTTCTATTGTATCATAACAAATAAAAACAAGTAGAGTTGTGCAAATTAGAAACTTGCACATTGCTTCCTCATCATTTTATCTTACAAAGTTTAAGCTGCTTTAAGCATGCGGAGTTTTCAATTTTTACTTCCTCATAAAGGAAGCTTTGTGAGATATCTCAAATTTCCTAAAAGTTACAGCGTGTACAGACTATTCTCAAAAACTTAAAAATTTTATAAAAAATGAACCTTTTGACCGATACTCACCAAATTCAGTACCAACCATCCTTTAATAATACTCTATTCATGTAAAAAAATTTAATCCGATATCTCAAATTTTCTGAAAGTTACAGCGTGTACAGACATTTCTCAAAAAATTCAAAATTTTATAAAAAATGAACCTTTTCATCGATTCTCACCAAATTCAATACCAACCATCTTTGAATGATACTCTATCCATATAAAAAAATTAACCCGGTATCTCAAAAATT